CTACATGGTTTCTTTTTTTTTTCTTTTTTATTGTGCTTTAAGTCAAAGTATACAATTCAAGTTAGTCTCTCATACAAAAATATACACGCACTATTATGTGACCCCAGTTGCTCTCCCCACGCTGTGACAGCACGCTCCTTACCATGTGGATTTCCCGTGTCCACTCAATCAGCTCCTGTCCCTTTTCTGCCTTCTCATCTCGCCTCCAGACAGGAGCTGCCCATTTAGTCTCACTACATGGTTTCTGAGGAACGATTAGCAGTTAATTCTATTGAGAATCCTTTCTGTATGACAGGTTGCTTCTCTCTTACTGATTTCAAAAATTATTCCTTTGTTTTGGATTTCAACAATTTGACTTTTCCTGCTGGGAGTTAGTTGAGCTTTTTGCATGTATGTATTTATATCTTTTATCAAATTTGGGGAGTTTTAAGTTATTTTTTCAAATATATTTTCTGCCCCTTTCTCTCTCTCCTCTCTTTCTGGGACTCCTATGATGTGTATGTAGATACACTTGATGATGTCTTACAGGTCCCTCAGGCTCTGTTCATTTTTCTTCATTTTTTGCCTGTTCAGATCTGCTGTTGAGCCCGTCTAGTGAGTTTTTCATCTTAATCATTGTACTTTTCAGTTCTAGAATTTCTGTTTGGTTCCTTTTCATAATCTCTAACTCTTTTTTTATATTCTCGTTTTATTCATAATCATTTTTTTGATTTCCATACTTCATTGTCCATGGTTTGCTTTAGCTCATTGAACACATTTAAGGCAGTTCATTTAACTTTTCTGACTGATGAGTCCAGTATTTGGCTTTCTTGGGGATGATTTCTGTCAATTTTTCTTTTCCTGTGAATGGGCCATAATTTCCTGTTTCTTTGTATGTTTTGTAACTTTTTCTTGTAAACTGGACAGTCTGAGTATCATATTGTGGTAACTTTGGAAATATAATACTTCCATTCTATAGGGATTGTTGATTTTTGCTCCATTTTTGACTTTTCCAAATTATTTTGCAAAGGGTATTTTCCTTGTGTGTGGTCACTGAAGTTTCTGTTCCGTTATCTCTGCAGTTAGCATCCTAACAAAGATTTCCTTAAATGCCTGACTCCCAAAAGAGGGAAAAATACTGTCTCTTTAAACCTCCTTGGCAGATGCTTTTGGGAAGCTATTTCAGCTCATGGATTTGGAATGATAGCCAGCCTCTGTGCTGACCCCTCAGTAATCAAAAGCAGCAGTCAAAATGCTCACCCCCCATTTTTGTAAGACAAGGTCCTTATTGCCCAGCCTGGCAGCAGCAAATCATACCACAAACATGGGCTGCTGGGCTGCCATCTCCACGGCTGCATGCTCTAGGGCTGGGGAGTAGAGGATGGTAGTCCTACATGAAACATGAAAATTCATCAGATGTTAAAAAAATTTACCAGCCTCTTTGTCAGGCTCTACCCTGGATGCTGCAGATGTTTAGCTAGACTCCAGAGTTCCAAAACAGTTACTTTGTACTGCTCAGTAGTACATGGAGGGATCAATTCCTAGAGCTTCCTATTTAGTTATTTTCTGTGATGTCACCTAATTGGTTCTTTTTTATGTCTCCTTATTTTTTCATATGCATCTGTTTTGTTAGAAGAATACTATTCGTTTTTAAATCTCTGTATATTTTTATTAGATTTATTTTAGAGTCCTCTTCAGACTGCAGTTATTATCTCCATTTCCTCAGGTGTGAATCTCATCCTTTCCCTTGCCTGTTACTATTTTTACCAGTTATGATGGCATTGAATTTTTTTGTAGACTTCATGATTTTTGCTTGAGAGCTTGTCTAGTATGGACATTTTCTCTTGATGTATTTCCACTACTACTAGCGATCATGGCTCCAGATCAGATTTTCTATTTTAGGCTGAATGCTCACACCCTGAAGAGATAATGTAATTCCAGACCTCAGAATCATATAATATGCAGACCTGGGCTCCAAATTGCTTTTAAGAAGAATTAAACCAGTTTACAATATCACCTTGCACTTACAGTGTTAGCTGTGGTTATTTCAATAATTTATATTATTTAATAGGTAAAAAGTGTGCATTATCATTTCAATGTGTATTTGTTTTATTAGGGGCCCTGGTGGCGCAGTGGTTAAGAGACCAGGCTGCTAACCAAAAGGTCAGCAGTTAAATCCACCAGCCACTCCTTGGAAACCCTAGGGGCAGTTCTACTCTGTCCTGTAGGATCACTAGGTGTTGGGATCGACTTGACAGCAATGGATTTTTGGGTTTTTTTCTCTTATAAACAGTTAAGAGTGAGAAGTTTTGTAGAAGTGCCTCAGTAGTTCACTTATATATGATTGCTAGTTGAATTTCTTTTGTTTTTCTTTGAAGTCACACCTCAAGTTTTTACCCATGTAATTATCCAGCTTGATTATCCATATTATTTGCTAAATAACTTTTGCACTTTCCAGAAGTCAGGTTTAGAGGAGAAGGATATTTGAAAGAGTCTGCTATAAAATTTTGGTACCTCTTTTGAGTTATTCAGATTTAGCCTGTTTTCACATACTTTTTTTTTTTTTTAAATTGTGCTCAAAAGTTTATACATATATCGTGACATTGGTTGCAGTTCCCACAACGTGACAGCATGCTCCCTGTTTCCACCATGGGCTCCTTGTGTCCATTTGTCCAGTTCCTGTCTCCTGCCTGCCTTGTTGTCTTGCTTTTGGACAGGAGTTGCCCATTTGGTCTCGTCTATTTGATTGAATTAAGAAGGACATTCCTCACTTGTGTAGTTTTTTGTTTTATAACCAAAAAAAAAAAAAAACAAAAAACCAAACCCATTGCCATCAAGTCGATTCTGACTCATAGCGACCCTATAGAACAGAGTAGAACTGCCCCATAGAGTTTCCAAGGAGTGCCTGGTGGATTCGAACTGCCGACCTTTTGTTTAGCAGCCGTAGCTTTTAACCACTACGCCACCGGGGTCTGGTCTGTCTAATCTTTGTCTGAAAAGTGGGCTTCAGGAATGGTTTCAGTTCTGGGTTAGCAGAGTGTCTGGGAGCCATAGTCTTGGGGGTTCTTTCAGTCTCTGTCTGATCTTTTTTTGTGAATTTGAATTCTGTTCTGCATTTTTCTCCTGCTTTATCTGGGACTCTCTGTCGTGATTCCTGTCAGAATGGTTGTTGTTGGTAACCAGGGACCATCTGGTTCTTCTGGTCTCACGTGGTAGAGTCTCTAGTTCAGGTGGTCCTTTAGTCCTTTTGGCTAATACTTGCTTTGTGTCTTTGGTTTTCTTCATTATCCTTTGCTCCAGGTGGGATAGGACCAATAGGTGTATCTTAGATGGCCACTTGCAAGCTTTTAAGACCCCAGACACTACTCACCAAAGTGGGGTGTAGAACATTTTCTTTATGAACTGTATTATACTAGTTGACCTAGGTATCCCTCCGAGACTATGGTCCCCAGGCCCCAGCCCCAGCTGCTGGGTCCCTCAAAGTGTTGGATGTGTCTAGGAAACTTCTGTGCTTTTACTTTGGTCCAGTTGTGCTGACTTCCCTTTATATTGTGTGTTGTCTTTCCTTTTACCGAAGTTGACCCTTGTCTGCTACCTAGTTAGCGATTTCCCCTCCCTTCCCCTCCCTACCCTCGTAACCATCAAAGAATGCTTTTTTCTGTGTGTAAACCTTTTCTTGTGTTTCACATACTTTATCTACTATGTGACTGGAAGTGAGATTCATGATTGTGATCCTGAGTCATAGCTGGACTGAGTTTGGTATTCCAGTTACTATTGCTGCGCAGCCAGCCTCCCCAAACTTAGTGGTTTAAAACCGCAACCATTTTTTAATGCTCATGGATTTTCTCATCAGAAATTCAGAGTGAGCACAGCGGGAAGGGTTTGTCTCTGTTCCACGATGTCTGGGGCCTGAGCTGGGAACACTGGAAGACTGGTGGTAACTTGACACTTGTATTCATCTGAAGACTCATTCAGTCACATGCCTGGCTGTTGATGCTGGCACCTCGGGTGGGGCTGTCATCTCCACTACCGTACCCATACATGGTTGTTCCATATTGTTTCTTGGGCTTTCTCTCAGTATGGTGGCTGGATTCCAAGAGAGCAAGTCACAAGTACATGACATTTTGGCGATCTAGCGTTCAAAGTCACATAGCATCACTTCTGCTGTTTTTCATAAGCCCACCCAAGTTCATGAGAAAGGAATAGATCCTGTCTCTCAAAGGGAGGGGTGTCATAGTCACATTGTAAGGAGAGCATGTGTGTAGAAGATATTGTGACCATTTTTGGAAAATACAGTCTGCCATAGTTTGGAAACTAAATTATGTTCGATTCTTAGTAAGCGAGTAAAGGAAAATTTACAACGTTTTTTGACAGTAAAGGTTGAGATGAGATTTATTTTTTATTTTATTTAATCCCCTCTAGTAAGGTTTGAGGAGTCCTGGGGGCTCAATTGTTGTGCACTTGGCTACTAACTAAAAGGTCAGTGGTTCGAATCTACCAGTGGTTCTGTGGAAGAAAAGATCTGGTGATCTGCTCCTGTAAAAACTGCCCATTGCCATCGAGTCAATTCTGACTCATAAAGACCCTACAGTACAAAGTAGAACTTCCCTATAAGGTTTCTAAGGCTGTAAATCTTTATGAAAGCAGACCGCCCGTCTTTCTCCCTTGGAGTGGCTGATGGGTTCAAACTGCCGACCTTTCGTTTGGCAGCTGAGCACTTTAACCACTGCCCCATCAGGGCTCCCTTCTGTAAAGATTACAGCCTAGGAAACCCCATGGGGCAGTTCTGCTCTGTCCTGTAGGGTCACGATAGTGTTGCAATGAGTTGAAATTGACTCATCGGCGCGATAACAACCACAACAGTAGTTAGGTTTAATGTAAAATCATGTTCCCTGATAATTTCACGTATTGAGATTTTATCATGGTACTTGCTCTTATTATAGTCCTGTTCTGTCCTATGTTCTATTTATTAATAGCACTCTTTTCAAGGTAGCTTTTATATCACTGTTTTTAATTTGCAGATAAAGCTGTAAAATGTAATACGGAACCAATGAAAGATTCACCTAAAAAGAAAGCTGAAAAGAAGCAGCAGTGCGTCCCTTTAAAAGGTGTAAACGAGGTTGTATTTTTAAATTGTTTATTAAATATATAATTCTTAAATGTTAATTTTAGAATATCTCCCTTAAAATCTACTAGGAACCAAAAAATATGTCTTCTTTTCAAAAATCCTTAACTATGCCAGTTACATTCATGAAAAAATATAATTGAATGTTTACTCTATTGTAAGAAAACAGGGTAACTCCAGCTTCCCTTTAGTCAAGCCCTTGTTCTTGGCCTAGTAAAACCTCTCCACAAAATCAGGTGTGTCTTTCATTTTAACAAGAGGGTAAAAATCTGAGATTCTGGGAAACTCTTTTAGTTAGATTCAAGTGTAACCTGTCCCTCAAGTCCTTCTGACAAGACAGGTGAAAGTAATGGCAGGCGATTTTAAATACCGCTTATCTGAAATGCTGGCTGCTTGCTGTTTGGACGCTTGAGTCTAGTGGTTAAAGCAGTGGTGTTATCACCCCGCTTTTCAGTTCTTTGCTTCTCCATATCTCTGTGAGTGTAAAGATGGTCTGTGGTGGCTGCTTATGAAAATAATTCCTGTGGAATTTTGGCTCTTCAAGAATGCCCATCTTGCTAGCATAGATACTCTTTCTGAAAAATATTTTTTTACAGTATGTTGAATCATCTGCATACTGGCCAACAAGAAGAGGCATAACCATTTATGCTGATCCAGATATTCCAGCAGCAAGGTATGATTTGAAAATTCAGCGATAATTGTGGACTAGAGACTTAAGTGTAATATTTTCTCGTACAGTGTTCTGTAAGATTGATGACAGAAAAATAATTCTGTTTCAAAAAAGGAGAAAAGGGTGGCCCAGGAAATTTTGATTTAACACATAGTAATTTAAAAGAAAATGCTTGGCAACTGGTTAGCAGCACAGTTGACCGAGAACTGGGAGTGGCTCTAGAGTCTGCTTGTCGGACGGGAGTCCCCTTGTTTCCTTGTTGCTGTAAGGCAGATCCCAGGAAGGTTGGCATGGAATTGTCTCGATGTAAAGGGTGGGTAAATGTGGGCCAGACGGCAACAAGCTGATTGGTTACAAGTTGGTAGAAAGCAAAGAATAGTTTGTTATCTTCCTGAAGGTGAATTTCAAAGGTTTGCCTACAACCCCGTCCTCATCAAGATACACATCAGTGACGTTAATGAAATCACAGACATGATATATCACTTCATGTGTAGTATAAGAACTTAAAATATACCTCCGTTTCTCTCCCTCCCTCCCCCCGCCTTTAGATTATTGTTACACATTTTACTTATACATATGTCAGATTCTAGAATACGTTGTCGCCGCTTTTGTTTAAACGGTTCTCTTTTAGAGATGTTAAATAATAAGAAAAACATCTTACGTATTTAACCGCGTAGTTAGCATCCAGTATGCTTCACTTTTTTTGTATAGATCTGTATTGCCATTTGATATCATTTCCTCCTGCCTGTAAGGACTCGTCTGTAATATTTCTTGTATTGCAGGTCTGCTGGTGATGAATTCTTTCAGCTTGTACGTCTGAAGAATTATTTACTTTACTTTCATCCTTCAAAAAATATTTTTGCTGGTTATAGAATTCTAGGTTGACAGTTCTTTTCTCCTGTGTTTTAAAGATGTTGCTCCATTATCTTCCTGCTTGCGTTTTTCTGATACAAAATCTGTTGTCACCTTTTTCTTTCTCTTTGCAACATGTCTTTTTCCTCTGACTGATTTTAATACGTTCTCTTAAAAGCAGTTAAATTATTATATGGCTTGATTTTGAGCAGTTTAGTTATTATATGCCTTGGTTCCCTCATGTTTCTTGTGCTTCAGTTCCGTTGAGGCTCTACGTTTGTAGGTTTCTCTTTGTTTTTTGTTTTCCTCTTTGGGATGTTTTTTCAACCATTTCTACAAATACTTTTTCTATACCGTCTCCTTCTCTGCTTCTGAGACTGATGCCACAGCAAATGTCAGATCTTTTGATACTGTCCAAAAGGTCTCTGAAGTGATTTTTTTTTACTTTTTCCGTCCTTTTTCTTACTATTCTTCAGATCGAATAATCTTGCCGTCTGTCTTTATGCTCATTGACTCTTCTGTCATCTTCAGTCTGACACTGAGCTTGTCCAGGAATTTTTTTTTTTTTTAATTTCAGCCATTGTATTCTTTTCAATTTTAAAATTTTTCATTTGATTCTTTGTTTTATAGTTTGTATAGCTATAGAGTCACTGTGAGTCGGAACTGACTTGCCGGCACCTAACAACAACATAGCTGTGATGCTGAACAGATTATCGCAGATCTTCCAGACTAAGACAGACTAGGAAGGAAAACCTGCGGATCCTACTTCCAGAAATCAGCCAGTGAAGGAAAACTGTGCGGATCACGACGGTCCTATCCCGTTGTGTATGGGGTTGCTATGAGTTGGGGGCCCATTCAGCAGCACCTAACAACAGCATCTTTTCCCATTCAAGAGTGTTCACCTTTCCTTTATCTTATGAAACACGGTTATAATAGCTGCTTTTGGTTTGATTTTGATAATTCCTACTTCTGAGTCATCTTGGGTTTGACACTTGTTGATTGTCTTTTCTTTTGACAGTTGATCTGATTTTCCTGGTTCTTCACACATGAAGTAATTTTGGGTTGTATCCTGGATATTTCTGTTGAAATCCTCTGGAGAATGTTGATGTTGTTTGTGTGTGTTGCTTCAGTATGCTGTCACAGGTCAGTTAGGATCATGCCTCAGGATCTGTCTCACCCTCTGAGGATGGTGGTTGCAGTGTTAATTCAGTTTTCAGGCCTTTGCTGCTGCTTTGGGTCTGTTCTGCCTATGCTCCAATTGGGGTGATCCTGAAATTCGTGTTGGTTCATAAACAGAAATAGGAGGCCCCCCTTTCCAGCATTCTTTGTTTTCAGGATTTTCTTCCCATTCACCAGTTTTAGGTGCCCCTTCTCCCTGTTCCTCTGGCCGGAAAGATGGGTTTTTCTCTTGGTGCTGTGCCCAAGTGATTGGGGCCACTTTTGGAGCAAAGCTGCAAGAGGAATAAGAGAAAGAAATATGAAGGCTCTCCCCTGACCCCTGCAGTCTTTGGACCACGGGTCCTCATTTCCACACTTTTCTGTCTAGAGATACAGGTGTTCTCTTGGGTTTAGGGGACCATACTGCTGTTTACATTGCAGCAGGCGAGCTGGCCTTGGAGCAGGGCTGGGAGAGAAAAAGAACAGTGGGGATTCTCCACACTCTCTGTTTTAAACGGTCCCTTTTCCTGGTTTCTAATGAGAGAGAGAATTTATTCCATATATATATGTATATTTTATGTCTGTCTCTGTCAGGAGGAGCCTTGGTGGTACAATGGTTAAAGCACTTGGCTGTTAACCTAAAGGTCAGCCGTTGGAACCCACCAGTGGCTCTGCAGGAGAAAGGACCTGACAGTCTGCTCCCATAAAGCCTAGGAAACCCTATGAGACAATTCTGCTCTGTCCTGTAGGGTCACTGTGAGTCAGAATTAACTTGACAGCACACAACAGCAACACTGCCTGTTAGGGTGGCAGTTTGAACCCACCCAGCGACTCCACAGAGGAAAGGCCTGGTGATCTGCTTCCATAAAAATTATAGCTCAGAAAACCGCATGGGGCAGCTCTATTCTGTCAGATGGGGTCGCTCTGAGTCGGAATTGACTCAGTGGTACCTACAGCAACACACCTGTCAACTCAGCTCCACGTCCCAGGTCAGCGCTAGGAGACGGGGAGGACACTGTAAATGCTCCATGCTTCTGGTTGGTTTTCGAGTTTTGGCTTTTTCCTCGTCATTCTGTGCTGTATGCAAAGTTTTTCGTTATGATCGGCGGGAGAGAGAAGGAGGTTGTAGTGGGCTCACTCCATCCTGTTCAGCACTGGTGGTGTCAGAAATTATTTTCCTACTTAAAGGGCCAGTAAAGGTATTTTCAGGATTGGGGTAAATGGGTTCACAGATTTTAATCAACGCCTTTTGATTTCTAGTGTTTTATGTCAGAAGCCAAAAGAGAAACCACTGAGATTGGCTGAGAAGAAAGAATATGATGAGAAGAATGGCTGTCTCAAGTAAGGATGGTTTTCTTGGCCTGAATGTTTTATTGAAGTAATGGTAGCAGAGTTATAAGCAGGAGGAATTTGCATATGATTTCAATTTTAATTTCCAACTTGGGTTCCCATAAAAAATTATAATACAGTTAAGTCTCCTGTAACCTTTCTGTTTGACGCTTTGTTCTCATGTAAGTAGCCATTTTCTGTCTCCCCTGTCTCATTCTCTTGGGGAATTGAGAAATTTTATGAAACGAATTGTCTGTCTAGAGCTGATCTTTCAGGCTGTTCACTTTGTATGAGTTGGTGTTCACTTTCTCCGCCATTTTCTGGTGTTAAATAGGCCTGCCCCCTGCTGGTGAAAGTATTTAATTCTTCACAGTGTGGAGCTTTGGGATTTTTTTTTTTTTTTCTATCCTGTCAGATTCACAGAATATTCACTTGTAAGTTGCCAGCAGCAGAGTAATTATTTTATACTTATTTAAGCCACAAAACATTTCTATGCCAATTTTTGTGATTTTCGACCATACCAGCCTAAAAACCCTCTTGTTCTCCAGCTAACTGCGGCTGCTCTCAGGCCACCGGGTGACAGAGTTTCAGGCATTTCAGAGGTGGGTGGGTTGTGATGAATCCACCAGTTGACCTAGGATGACTGGGGGAGGGTGTGGACTGAAGCAACTGGGGCTACCCAGCTTTCCTAGCCAGCACGTGCCCTGCGGTATTCCGAGGCCAGGGCCTCTGAAGACTGCCGTGGAGCCCACAGATTTGGGGGTGGCTGTGAATGCACCTGATTTGACACCCCTCCTCCCAGAGCACCCCTTCACCCCCGTAACTGAAGGTTTTTCTTGTTACAAGTGGCTGTTTTCCTTGGGACCAAAAGGCCTTGCATTAGTCATGCAGCTCATTTCTTACTTTTATTACTTCAAATTATAACCTGATAAATTAATCCTGAAGTATTATATTGCCTTTTATTTTTGTATGAGAAGAGTCTGTCTCCTGTCCTGCTAAATGCCCTTTAGTTAGAATGCCCACCGGTTAAACGACATCAGTTATTCTGTCTGCCTGCTCTGAGTCTCAGAGAACCTTGAAGTGGTTCAAGACTAAACAGCAAAGGTGGCAGAAGGTGGTTGGTTCCTTAGGAACACGGTGATGACCGGGTGATCGTGCCATCTTTCTCCTTGACAAGAACAGCTGGTCCTGGGGTTGTGGGGCTGTGTCCGAGGCCTGTTGAGCCGTGTTTATGTCAGGTCCGGTCAGAATAGTGAAGGTAGCCTGGAAAAGAGACAGAGCCCAGCCTTTCCCAAGGACAGTCGGTCAGGGATTTGCAGGTGTCACATCCCCGTAAACTTAACATGGGATTATAATAGTGATACTGTGAAGAAAGAGGACACCATGACCTTGGCATGTTGCCAAAAATTCTGCCTGGCCTTAACGGTCACCTTAAGGGGGGTGTCCGTGTAGCCGCCTCTCTTTGAGGCCCATTGTTTCTCTGACACTGATGGCATTGCTCAGCCTGTCACTACCAGCAAGCCATTCTCTTCAGGATCTTTCTCGATGTCTCTCGCTTCAGACTTGTGTCCTTCACTATAGCTCATTCAGAAACCCCCAAATTTCAGTAAATCCAGAAAGAGGCCATCCCAGACTTGGTCCTCTTCCCCATTCTGGGATTACGTACTAGTTTCTCCCTTGTAATCCTGGATCCGGGGGTGGGGGTGAGGGTGGGGTAGAAGGTGTAAGGGCCCAAATCCAAAGGTTAAGGACCCACGTGGCAAATTTCTCTTTAGGGATTTTTGGATAGCCAAGAGAAGCTGGTCGCTATGAGTTGGAATTGACTGGACAGCAATGAGTTTGGTTTTGGTTCGGTAGCATAGATTGGGATTGAACCGTAACTTCTAACCTGTCATCAGTTGCCCTTGGGTATATGCTGGGAATGGTAGATAGCTCTTAACTCCGTTTGGTTGGTAGTGGCTGCCTGCAGCATAGTTTTGAAGAAGATTCTGAGACTGCAGCCAGAGGTACTGGGGAAAGTACTTATGATTTATGAAGGTCTTTGGTGTGATGTGTTGGCCCGCCTGCCACCTATTTGTCACCTCTGATATTTAATGTAAGCCTGGGGCTTTCTTTGCAGTTACCTGCCCTTCTGTCTTTTCTGTAATCTAATACTTACTATATTGTCTTAGTCATCTAGTGCTGCTACAACAGAAATACCACAAGTGGATGGTTTTAATGAAGAGAAGTTTATTTCCTCATAGTCAAAGTAGGCTAAAAGTCCAAATTCAGGGCGTCAGCTCCAGGGGAAGGCTTTCTCTCTCTCGGCCTTCTCATCAGTGTTCCCCCAGACTAGGAGCTTCTCGGCACAGGGACCCCGGTCCAAAGGACGCACACTGCTCCCAGCACTGCTTTCTTGATGGTATGAGGTCCCCCTGTCTCACTGCTCACTTCTGTCTTTTATATCTCGAGATTGCCTCAGGACACAATCCAGTCTTGTAGATCAGGTCCTGCCTTACTAACATAACTGCCACCCATCCTCCCTCATTAACATCATAGAGGCAGGTTTACAACATACAGGAAAATCACACAGTACCAGGAATCATGGCCCAGCCAAACTGATATACACATTTTTGGGGGGACATAGTTCAAACCGTGACATATATATTCTTTATTTTTCAGCTGTCTTCCTTAAACCCTTTTGGCATTTGCTTACTTTGTATTTTTGATCTGCCACTTTTAAGTGCGACTTACTTAAGATGGAAAATTTCTCTAAATGTATGTATTCTTTATAAAATTGTTTCCATATCAGACCACTTGAATGCCAGTGTTTATTTTTATTAAATAATATTTTATTATGTTTTCGGTGAAGGTTTACACAGCAGTTTAGGTTCCCATCACCAGTTTCTACATAAATTGTTCACAGACATTGGTTACATTCTCCACAATGCGTGAACATTCTCAGTATTTCCGTTCTGGTTATTTCATTTCCATTAATCTAGTTTCCCTGCCGTTTTACCTTGTCATCTTTGTTTTAAAGTGATTGTTGACCATTGGTCTCATATAGATGATTTTTTAAAGGAGCACAGTACTCATGGGTGATATTCTTTATTTTGTGAGCCAATCTGTTATTTAGCTAAAAAGTGACCTCGGGCCAGTTTTGGTTCAAGGTCTAAAGAGTTTCTCAGGACAGTAGTCTCGGGGGAGTCCTCCAGTTTCAACTGGTCCAGTAAGCCTTGCTTTGTTTTTTTTTTTTAGGAATTTGAGGTTCTGTTCCACATTTTTCTCCCACTCTATCAGGGTCCATCTATTGTGGCCCTGATCAGAATGGTCGGTAGTGGTAGCCAGGTGCCATCTCGGCTCTGGTGGTCTCACATTTAGGTCCTTGATAATATTTTGAGTCAATTTTCGTATATCCCTTTGGTGACCCATGGCCATACTGTATCCCAGCCACTTTTTATGCCTCTAGAGTTCTTCGGGAGTATACTTTTCTCGCTGAAAGTATTTGCCACCCTTCAGTGGGGACTTGCATAATGGCAGAAGGCAAAAGAAATGTTAGTTGAAGCAAAATACCTGGCGTATGAGGCTTGCAAGTAAGGTATTGCAGCCAGGAAGTGTGTAGTTGGGTAAAAATTTTGTCTCTTTCGGCTTTTGTACTCCTGGAGAGGCCTTGTAAGCATGTCTGTGGTTTCCTGTGTGATAATTCAGGAGCCCTGGTGGGCTTGGTTTTGAGTTTTTTGTGTCATATTTGAAGAACCAGAGGTTCCCCACATAACCTAATGGAAGGCGACCCGCCATATTTTCAGCCACCAAGCTTTATTGGGACACATGGTTGCCCATCAATCAGCAGGCTTGAGGATGCATAAACTTCAGTGGTAACCATGTAGTCCCAGATAATATTTCTCAAAATCCACGTTAACCAACCAAAAATTTAAACACACACCGTAACTCAGCTTATTTCCATTAATGAAAACACATGGTATAAAAAAAAAAATTCAAAGCAGAAAATAGGGTCACCAAAGGAATATGGTGTGAGATATGGATCCAATTTCATTCTTTTGCGTGTGGAAATCCATTTGTCTCAGCACCATTTATTAAAGTCCCCACTGAACGGACTTAGTACCCTTGTTGAAAATCTGTTGACCATAGATGTGTTGTTTTATTTCTAGACTCTCAGTTCTGTTCCATTGGTCTATATGTCTATCACTATACCAGTACCACAAATGGTTTGCACTTGACTACTTACTGAAAGGTTGGCAGTTTGAACTCACCCAGTGACACTGCGGAAGAAAGACCTGGCAGTCTACTTCCGTAAAGATTACAGCCAAGAAAACTCTATGGAGTTCCAGTCTAGTTTGTAACAGATGAGATCGCCATGCATCGAAATCGACTTGACAGCAACGGGTTTGTTTTGTTTTGTTTTACTAGTGCCGGACTGTTCTTATTTCTCTAGTTTTATAGTGTGCTTTGAGATCGAGAAGTGTGATTCTTCCTACTTTATCATGTCATCTGCAAAGGGGGATAGTTTTATTTCTTCCTTCCCGATTTGGATACCTTTTATTTCTTTCTCTTCCCTAATTGCCGTTTTTCATTTAAAATTTTTTTTTGTCTCTGTATGCTTGAGGTGTTCCTCAGATGTCTTGTGATCCTTGATGGTTATGCTGATATTTAAACATAGGCATCTGAGGAGCCGAGCAGGGTGTCTGAGCACATAGTGGCTTCTCGGCTGTGAGTCTGTGCAGTGAGCTGTCTTTTGGTGGGGCACCTCTGATGTCAGTCTGTGGAGTCTTTCCTCTGTGGCGGGGCGGATTTCCCAGGGAAGGCTCCTCCTGCCCTTTGCCCTAGGGATGAAGGCCTGCCTGCCAGTGTCCTGGGTGCTGAGTGGCAGAAGCTGATTAGGGTCTTATTATTTGGTAGTTGCTTGTTGGCTTACCCTCCCTCTTTTCAGACAGTGCCCCATCCTCAGTTATGCCTTGAGTGCCCAGGTCCTGAGTTTTTCTGTTTTATCCTCGCCAGAGAATCTCTGGAGGCATTCACCTGGCACTGAGAAGTGAGTTAGATGATCTCGGGATTTCTCCCTTTATTTTAGCCCACGCTGCACGCCCACAGTCAGAGGAGCCTGGTACCGCCAGTTCCCAAGCCTGTGAGGACTGTGCTGTGCAGACAGAGTTAGACCTCCCATTACTGGCTTCAGATTCAGCTTTCCTGGATCTTCAGGGTCAGCTACCACTTGTCCATCTGGTTTCTAGCTTCCAAAATTTTGTTCTGGAATATTGTCTCCTGCGGGGTTAACTTTATCCAAAGAATTTGGTCTTTGTCCTTTGCTCCCGAGACATAGCCTCGAAAACCTTGGATTTTCCCCCAAGACAATATGTAAGGGTTTATGACTCATGTTGGGCGGGAGCTGAGTATGCCAGAAGGACCCACCTTGTGCTGTCAGCCTGTGACATCAACCTAGTGACACCAGCCGACCTCAGGGGAGGGGCTAGAGTTTGCGTTACATAATGAGACCCTCAATAGAAACCCTAGACGCAGAAGCTCCATGGGCTTCCTGGTTGGTGATGGACATTGATACAGGTGGGAGGTTAGCATGCCCCTTTTTGGGATATGGAAGCTCCACTTTGGGAGCTTGCACAAGCCTTGCCCTGTGGGTCTCTTCATTTGTATCCTTTTTGCTATAATAAAACTGTGACCCCAAGGATAGCATTTTCTGTGAGTTCTTTGAGTCATTACAGCGAATTATTGAACCCGAGGGAGCATTGGGAGCCAGCAGGTCAGAAGTGAGGAGGGCTGGGAGCTTACAGCTGGCATCCTGAGGGGGTAGTGGGAAAGCCCAGATTTGTGGTCAGCAGGTCCTAGGTGATGGTGTCCTGGGGACTCCAAGCTTGCAGCTGGTGTCTGAGGTCTTGGGTGGACTTGGCGTCTGGAGGACTGTGCCCTTTAACTTAGGAGGTCTGACCCAGCTCTAGGTGGCGTTTGCAGTTGGTGTGAGATGTGGAATTATAAATAGATTTCATTGATTTCACCTGCATATTCGACATCAGATACGTGGGGTTTGATTTTTCCAGCGTCGCCTCTCTAGTTTTCTCCTTTATTGTGGCTTTTTTTTTTTTTTTTTTTAAATAACAGCTTTACTGAGATAGAATTCACATACCATAAAATTTACCCTTTTAGAGTGTACAGGTCAGTGCTTTTTACTGTATTCACAGAGTTGTTTTACCATCACCGCTGTTTAATTTCAGAACATTTCTCGTCACCTCAAAAAGAAACCCATACCCATTAGCAGTCACTCCATTCTCTCCTCTCCCCAACCCCCGGCAGCCACTGGTCTGCTTTCTGTCTTGATGGATTAGCCTATTCTAGACATTTCATGTAAATGGAATCACACAGTATATGGTCTGTGCCCCTGCCTTCTTTCACGTAATGTAATGTTTTCAGGTTCGTCTGTGTTGTAGCATAACTGAGAACTTCATTCTTTTTTATGACTTAGTAATATGGCACTGTATGGGTGTACAACATTTTGTTTATCTGTTCATCTGTTGGCGGGCATTTGGGCCTTGTGCCTTTTGCATTAAAAAATCCATTTGTAGGACTGGGGTTTAGGGAAAGAGTGTAATTTGATGTATATGTTTCATCTGCCATCTTTATCCTGAAGCCCCCTGCACCCCTGTGGTTTATGAGTTTGCTGCTGCTGTCACTAGTCCTTGCCCATTTGGGGTTGGACTAGGTCTAGAGGAAAGCACTTCCAAATGTCTTTTTCTCTCAGTTAGCAGAGATCTAGATAGTGAACAAGCCCTATCTGATCTTTCACTTTCCCGTCTGTGAAATGAAGATAATGGAGTAGACCGGGGGTTCCTAATCCTGGCTGGGCCCCTTTTCCAAAGAGATACTACATAAGGACCTGGGTGGGGGGCTGGTGCAGTACAGACGCAAGCCTGGGGCCCAGGGCTGGGGCGCATGGAACTGGCATGACCACCATGACCCTTTTATCTTACTAAACAAAACAAGTGGCAGCTGTACAGCTCTGCCTTGGGATGTGGTGTCCATTTTATCACTCTCAGGGAAGAATTAAAACAATAATAGAATTCAAGAAACAAACACTTTTTTTTTTCAAGTTCTTTTAACTATTTTACAGATTACTGCAGTTTTTAAATCCTGATCCTTTGAGAGCTGATGGAATCTCTGATCTACAGCAGGTATTATAGGCCCTCAGGAAAAGAAGGAAGGGAGGAAGGGAACTGTTTAAATCCCTCTGTCTTCTCCCTCCAGACTTGAAAAACTGCTAAGATGGGGGGACTCCCCCTTAAGATGTTCTTTTAGAAATTATCTGGTGAATTCTTGCTTAAGAGAAATTGCTCCTTAGTTCTTTTGGGTCACAGATGATCTTCCTTTCATTTTTGGTATGTTGGTGGTTTTGATAAGCTGTATATACCTAGGTTCTTAACATTGACATGAGACTGTTGTATTTTATTCATTTCTGTGATGTCCTTGATATTCTGCGCTGATATCTCAGGTAGATAATAGTTGTCTAATGTATCTATATGCTTAGTTGCAGAAGTTGAAGTTGGGTTTGCAGCAGCCCTTTGTGGTACTCGGAAACAAGATTGAGCCCTGCCTAACCATTGAGATGTCGCCACTTTCAGCAGACCTAAAAAAGGTAAAAGTACGCTTAAAACTGAACCTGTGAAGTAATACTAACTTGTTCTAACATGGAAGGATTTTTTATTGAACGGTTATATGTTTGCATTTGTATAATTTCTTTGCTTTTGAAATTTTCTTTTAAACTTCTGTTACTAACTTCACATTTATTGTTGAGTCCAGGATGACTTCTTAGAAGTGAACAGTTCTTCCGTGGAGAATTCATCGTATAACTGGAAGTGCCCTTCTGAAATGAGTTTTCCAGTGGGCCTCTGGAAAGGCTCTTAGCCGGAGCAACAAACCGCCAGGAGAGTTGTAATGTACTTCTTGGCATTCTCTGCAGAATTACCTTCCAGAGTTGATGGTTTCAACTGGTAAATTGATCATACGTGTTTATCCTTCCCGATACAAAAAAGAAATAGAAGTAAAGGAATATGTATTTTTTAAAGATAAAACCACAAGGACTGGTAGAATGAGAGAGAAGTCTTGAGTGGACAAGAGATTTCCACAGGCTTTTAGAAGTCAGGGAACAGGCAGCAGAGTATGGCTAACTTAATAGAGAAAGGATAGAGGCAGGGTTCGTTTTGGGAGAAACTGAATGGCCATGGCGAAATGACCTTGAGACGATGCTGTCTGCTGTCTGCCTGTAGTGTCGTGATGTTTACAGGGTGACACACTTTGCCCACCCACAGAGCTTCTAGTCAGCTTTTTAGTGTCTTCCTCTTAAATATGAACAGATACCAGGGATCAGTCATCAGACATTTGAAGAAAATCCTCACCTTAAAAAACAGACCCGAACGAACAAACCGTAAGAGTGGCATGGCGGCAGACCTCTTCGTCTGACTTCACCAGGAGGAAAGATAATCGTCAAGACCATCATCCGCCCAAGGCTGATTCCTGTGAGGTGAAAGTCAAACATGCCTCCACCCTCCAGCCTTTTTACCGGTTCTGACACCAGCCATCTCTCCCATGGCGCTCTCTACTTCTCTGCTTGGTTCGATAATTTGTTACAACGGCTACACAGAACTCACAGACCAAACTCACAGTTACGGGGTTTATTAGGGAAGTAACAGGTTACAATTCAGGTTCAGGATCAACTTGAAAGTAACAGAAACAACTCAGGATACAGTTCTTTGATCAGGACAGCTTCTTCTTGGCTGCTGCCACTGGGCCCCGCCCTCTCGGCTTGGGCCCCACCCTCTTGGCATGGACCCCTGCTCGGGCCTGACCTCTTAGCTCTCTAGTGTTGCCAGCAAATGCCCCCGGAGACACTCAACTCTGCCAGCCAGCCTCCTGCCTAGAGGTGCTCAGCTCTCTCGTTTCGTGGTTTGGCACACCCCCCGTAGCTGCCTCACTTCATGGGCCAGGAACCCCACTGTCATCTTGCGATGGTCTCCTGGATCTCTGCTGCGCTTGCTGCCAGTTCTCACCATCTCATGCCTTCTCCAGTGTTACAGCTCTCTGTGTCCCCTGGGTCTAGGAGATTCTTAGTGCGGGGACCTCAGGTCCAAAAGATGTGTTCCGCTCCTGGCTCTTCTTGATGGTAGTGAGGTCCGCCTTCTCGCTCTCTGGAATTGGCTCTTTTGAAACCTAGCCAAATGGCAAAACGGATTAATCCCCTGCAAGGGTTCTGTGCACCTTATTTGCATGGTCTCACCCCTACAGGGGTGCCGTGCACCTTATTTGCATTAATTAGCAGTCTCTATAATCCTCTTGGTAGGCCACAAGCACCTTATTTGCATAGCCCCACCAGTCATTTTGTGGGAGTCACAAGACCATGGTAGAAGGGCCATGTGATAGTAATTTAGTATACCACACAAACTCTGAAGGAAACAGGAAGTGCAGGGAGTAGAAAAAAGTGTTTAAAAAAATATCCTCAGAGATGAGAAGATTTAACACCCATTTAACAATACTCGGGTACTGTGAAAACGGAAACAATCAGAGAACTAGAAAAGGTCCTTGGAAATTCAAGAATAGTATAGAAACCATTATTATACTGTAGAATATATTATAGAAACAAAATACTATTTTTAGAAACACAAAAATCAGTAGTAGGGTTGAGAAAGAAAATAGAAGCTAACTCTTTGCAAGTAGAACAAAAAGAAAAAGATATGGAAAATAAGAGAGAATTTGAGGGTCAATTTGAGGCCCAATATCTGAAAATGAAATTTCTAGAAAGAAGGAGGGGGGCAGAAAATTCTCAGAGGAATAATACAGGAAAATTTTGTGGACCTAACGAACCTGGTGGCGTAGTGGTTCAGAGCTCGGCTGCTCCAAAAGGTCAACAGTTCAGGTCTACCAGGCGCTCCTTGGAAACTCTGTGGGGCAGTTCTGTTCTGTCCTGTAGGGTCGCTATGAGTCAGAATAGACTTCAGGGCAGCGGGTTTGGTTTTTTTGGTTTAACAAACATAAATATTCAAATTAAGAGAGTCTACCGCGAGCCCAGCGCAGCTAGTGAACAAAAATATTAGACACATTGTTGTGAAGAATCTAAATTTGAAGGATTCAGAGATGATGAAAGCATCCAGAGAAAAGAGACTGGTCCCACATGCAGGACCAGGAGTCAGAATAGCTCCAGACTTTTCCACAGTAACCCCAGAGGAGCCCTGACTTCAACATTCTGATGATAAGTTGTTTTCAACCTTCAGGTTCATACTCAAGAGTATCGATGAAACATGAGGGTAGAATGAAGACAGTTTCAGATGTGCAGAGGCTCAAAACAATTCACCTCCCTTGTGCTGTTCGTCAAGAAGCTACTGAGGTGTATGTTTCACCAGAACAAGGAAGTAGACCAGCAAAGGAGATGACACGGGTGACAAACGAAAGGGTGACGGTGAAGAAAGGTCGACGGATGACAGACACATGCCAAGCACAGAGAGTAGGGGTTGCAGTAGGGTTTCACGGGGGCTTTGGGGAGGGGCTACATGGAGATAATGGTGCTGATGAGTTCAGCCCTTTGGAGAATGGTGTCAGTGTGGTTGGAGAACTCTGCTAGAACATTTGGAAGGTTTTAGTGACGGCTGCATAGAAAAATAAGCAAATAAAGGCATGTTTTAAAAAAAGCTTTACAGGTGATGCTGATACACTGGCAGATTATTAGGAAGGTAAGGAGAAAAAGCCACATCCTTGCTCTAGTGAGTTTTAAGCATCTGGTTATGGGCCACCTATTGGATCCTTTTGACTTGGAACCCAGAGAAGTGAGTGAGTATCTCACAGCCGGAGTTTGGTGCTGAGAGAAGATTCATGGTGGCTGATGGATCTGGAAAATACCAGATTGAACAATGTACAGTGGTTGTTTAAGTGAAGAATGAGATGCACTTGTATTAGTTTTCCATACTTTTATTGTGTTTTTTTTTTTTTTTTTTTGGTTGTTGATGTTTTGTAGGCTCTTCAAAGAAATAAGTTTCCGGGACCTAGCCACACTGAATCTTACTCTTGGCCTCCCATAGCACGTGGCTGTGATGTGGTTGTCATTTCTCATTGTGGAAATGACCCTTTGTTGTACCTTCCACCAGTGCTTACGATTTTGCAAACAGGGGGCTGCTATAAGTCATTACCAAGTAGAAACGGAGTAAGTTCAAAACAATTTTGTTTCACAACAAAATAGATTAAATGTTTATTTTTAAATTTTACACCTAACGTGGTAGAGTTCAGGCTCTGCTACTCAATTTAGTTTCCAAAGTGCTGTGAGAAATGATCTTTTTTCTCCTCCCAGTCGTCGATCTCTTACAGCAGTAATACAGCTCACTGACCCTACATTCCCAGTGCTGTGCAACCATCCCCACTGTCTGTTGCCAGTTTTTTTTAAAACACTGCTTCCCTATTTCCCCCTCCCGTCTGCCCCTGGTAACCACTAAAGAGCATTGGTCTCTGTGCATTGGCCTGTTCTGGATATTTCATGTAAGTGGGATCATACCGTGTTTGCCCTTTTGTGTCTGCCTGATTTCATTCAGCATTAATGTTGTCAAGGTTCTTGCATGTCATGTCATGTGACAGAACTCCATTTCTCTCGATAGCTGAGTCCTGTTCCACTGTATGTCAAATCCACTTTAAAGAAATTATATTTTAACTTCTGACCTATGTGAAGATGATAGCAAACACGTAGTTATTACTCTGTACGAGGAGCTGTTCTGAATGCGTCACATGCCTGGTTCTTCGCTTTTGTCCCAAATTATGTGAATTTGTTTGTCTTTGCAGCCTCTGGCAGTCATCGTGTGCCCTGGGTGGAAAAAGGCTCAGTTCATTTTCCAGTTATTGGGAGACTATAGTATGTCGTCCAGGCCTCTTCATCCTATGTTGTTAACAATTGGACTCCACAAAGATGAAGCCAAAAATATGAAGCTTCCAAGAGGGTGTAAGCATCCGTCCCAAGCTGTTTGGTTTTCCCTACAGAAGACAGTGGAACCTTGCCCAGGGAGGCCTGGGAGCCACTGATGACCCAGAGCTTGTGTGGTGCAGCCAGTGGCCATTAGTCCAGATCTCTTTTGTCTGTTTCCAGTGGGCATAGATAATGATCGCCATGAGTCGGAATCTACTGGACAGCAACTGGTTTGTTTAGTTATAGATTATGAAGGTTTGATCTTGGCTTACATGTATTTCACTGAAAGAACTTTAATTTATCAATTATTTACTGAGCACTTACTGTTTGTTAGAAGCTGGGCACACAGTGTCAGCTAAAACCCTTCTGCCTTTCAGGAGTGGAAAACTTGGTGGGACTACAATTTAATCAGATAATTACAGTGATTAACCTGGCTAGGCAGGCCCCCTTGCCTCACCTACTTGAGTAAGAAAAATATCTTTTTGTTTGTTTAATGAGAGGGCATTTCATAGACAGCATGTGGAATCTCAGCAAAGGAAAAGTTAGGAAAACCTTTGGAAATTCTACAACGTAGATTATTTTTTCTTTTAAAATGTAGGTGATGTGATTGTTACAACACCACATAGCCTCCTGAGACTTCTTAAATATCAAAGTTTGTTATTCCTTAGAGTCTGTCACCTGATTTTGGATGAGGTGGAAGTATTATTGTTTGAAGCTAATGAACAAGTAAGTATGGCATCCATTTAGATGGCATTAACTGCTTTTAGGAATCAGGAAAAGTGTCTTGTTGGGGAAGAAGCTGGGTAAAAAAATTTCCCTTTAACTCTGTAATTAAGAAGATAAAATGCCTATTTGAAGTTTCCTGCCCAGTGTTGAAAGTTCTTCTCCTGAATTCTTTCCCAGGGAAGTTTTCTAAAATATTTTCACTAATATTTTTTTGATTATGGAAGCAATCATTTTTATTTTAGAAATTTTGAGAAATGGAGAAGAGCATTTAAAACAAACCAAAATCCACAATTGTACACTCAGAGGTAATACACCACTCTTATATTTCCTTCTTTTTTAAAAATTCCTGTTTGTTTTATGCATATAATTAACCGTATCAGGACCATCTTTTATGTACTGCTTTGTAACTTGTGTCTTTCAGTTAACAGCATTGTGAGTTGTTGCTTACTATTCCATGGCGTGATTGTTTTTGGCCGTATAGTATTGAATCCTAAGGGCATGACATAATTTATTTTAAAACCTCCTATTTTTTGTACATTTAGCATAGTTTTGTGTGTGTGTGACTAAAAAAGCATCCATCTTTCATGCACGTTTCCCTTAGGATAAATTCCTAGGAAGGGGATTAACAGAGACTGTGAATTCTTGGAAGGCATTTGTTGGAAGCAGTATGATATGGTGACCAGGAGTGTTCATTTGGGAGTGATGGCAGCCCCACATTTAAGTCCAGACTTTCTTTCTTATTGACTGCGTGGGCCTGGGCAGGGTTCCTTCCCTCCTCTAAAGTCTCAGGTTCTTATTCACAGAACTGTTATCCTGGTATACTGCATCATATAGTTCCCTTCCTGAAGCATGGGCTGGTTTTCACTCCTACACTATGCTGTGCTCCTTCGTGTAGGCGGCCTCTTTGTTAAACAGTGATACCTCATTAACTTAATTAGTCTTCCTTTAATTACTTGTTCCGTCGAACATTGATTTGTTTTGGTCATGTGTATCCATTCTGCTAAGAGTTGCTTGTTCATTTTCTTTTGTTATTTTCGGTTGGTGAGATCATCTTTTCCTAACCAGTTTTTAGAAGTTCTTATATAAGAATGTTAATCCTTTGTTGTATGTATTACCCATCGTTACCCAGGATCTGTTGTTTGTGTTTTAAGTTTGTTTATTGTGGGGTTTTAGGATGTTCAATGACTTTAAACTTAACATTTTCTTTTTTTTGTTAAGTTTTTTCCTTTTCTTTTATGATTGGAAAGACTTTCCTTACTCTGAGAACAGAAAATATGCAATCTCTTGCATTTTGTGTTCTGTTGAACTAAATTCTTATTCTCTTCTGAGATAAAAACAAAATTAATTTTACTCATTTTTTTAGATGTTTGCTATATTAGATAACTTTAAAAAAAATATAGAGATTGAAGAAAGGGAATCAGCGCCACATCAGATTATTGCAGTTGGGGTTCATTGGAACAAACATATAGACCATTTAATCAAAGAATTCATGTATGACCCCTACGTTGTGATCACGGCCATGGAAGAGGCTGCACTCTACGGCAGTGTCCAGCAGGTAATGAGGGGGGTGTGTGTGTGTGTCTGTGTGCGCGTTTTGTGTCTGTGTGCGGTGGCGGGGGACTGATGAACACGAGCAAGCAGACTTTATTTCATGGCTTAATATTAAAAGATTATAGCTTTGATTTCGTATACAAATCCCTGCTTGTGTTTAGTGTAAACTTACATGGCTTTCCTAGACATTCTTTTCTATCAAAATCATAACTTTCCTTGAAAAGTGACACTGGAGCTCCTTGAACATTTTTACAGTCAACACCGTTTCTGTATGTTGCTGCCAGGTAGTACATCTTTGCCTAGAGAGTGAAAAAACCTCTACCTTGCTCCAGACACTTGATTTCATCCCGCGTCAGGCGCAGAAGACCTTGATCTTCACCTGCTCTGCAGCTGAAACGGAAACTGTGTGTAAGGTGAGCACGTCCATCCGTGAAGAGGGCCTCGCTCTTTGTGTAAGCTGCGGTTGACTCTTGAACCACCAGAAGATTACTGGAGTAGTTGAATATGTGGCAGGGAAACAAAATTTTGCAGTCAGAAGTGGAAGCAGGTTCTGCTGCCAGGTACTGATAGCAGGAGGAAGCAGGTAGATGGGACGAGACTCTCCATTGACGTCACCGTTCTCGGGGTGGAGCAATGCTTTACGGTTTTGTCGTGGCTGACTTACAAAGCAATGCCGGCACATTCTGTCCCCTCTGTTTAAGAAGATAGCAGTAGAAATGTGATCATGTAGCCAGAAAAGCCAAATAAATAGGCTAAAGATTAATTTAACCTCATGTTATATAAATTAATGCTATAACATAAAGATATAAGACTTAGAGTATCTGCCTTTCAGCAGTGATGAGCTACACGAAGGTGTAGTACAAAGGCATCTGTTGACAACAGCCCCATATGTTTGGTGTATATGTAGCTCATATATAAACACGTACATACACGTACGTATGTATGCGTTATTTAAGGAAGGAAAATAGTTCAACCAAAAAAATAAGGATTTCGTTTGCACAAGTTTTTAAATAAACTATAGAGTTTTGGAAATAGATTTAAGTTCCCAGTCATCTCATTCTCTAGAATTACTGGGTCAGTGAGGTAATACTCTCACAGATAACGTAAAGTGGTTTATATTGATAACTGAGGGCCCTGTGTGGCCCGCGTGGTTTGTGCTCGACTGCTAACCAAGTGGAGCCCTGGTGGCACAGTGGTTAGGAGCTACGGCTGCTAACCGAAAGGTCGGCAGTTTGAATCCACCAGCTGCTCCTTGGAAACCCTATGGGGCGGTTCTGTTCTGTTTTATAGGGTCACTAAAAGTCAGAATTGACTCGACAGCAACGGGTTTGGTGTTTTTTTGAACCTAGCAGCATCATGGAAGAAAGGCAGTCTGCTGTAAAGATTACAGCCAAGAAAACCCTATGGGGCAGTTCTACTCTGTAACACATGGGGTCACCGTGAATTGGAATCAACTTGATGGTAGTGAGTTTGGGGTTTTTTTGTATTGATAGTTGCTGGCTTCAGGCATATGGTTCTGACTGAATGTTCGGTTTCATCTTCAGGTAGTTGAAAGCAGTTCAGTATTTTGCTTGAAAATGCATAAAGAGATGGTTTTTAATTTAAAAAGCGTTTTAGAACAGTGGAAGGAGTTAAGTGCTGGCTCTCACATTGTGTTGGGTAAGTGTTTTAATTTCTGTTTGTAATTTAGAGAAGGCTGTGCCAATATGAATGATATCTTCATTTATTTATCTCATCTCCAAATTTCTCATTTCACAATTTACTGAGATTTACTAGTAGTGTTAATTTCAAAATTAACAATAACCTCCACTAAGATTGTGATTTTGAGGCTCCTGGGGTTCTCAGATCAGGAGCAGTGACCCTTAGTCTAGGCATCCTCCCTGGAGTTCCAGCCGGAGGATCACCCTCTCAATAAAAATAAGAACGTATATAAACAAATAACATTATACATACATGATACGCTCTAATAATTTATACGTATAACACTTAATATGAAACGTGGTCAGATGTGATTGTTCAATTCAGTGTTAGAAGTCAGAGTGTATAAAATAAGTGAAAAATATCTGGGCAGCCTGGGTTTGTAATAGAAAAAGGCACTTTTCAAGCTAAAAGGAGGAGACCACTTTTCTCTGCATTTGATCACCGGGAATGAAGTTGTGGTAGCGTTGGGGACATGGGAAAGAGAGATAAAAAGTGAGCTGTAGTAAAGGAAGAGAGTGAAGTATGGTGATTGAACTGCATTGTACAGTGAGGTGAAGCCCCAGCCGCCTGTGAAGCTGTCGGCCTCCTTTTCTCCAGCTTTGACTGATGACTGCATACCACTCCTGGCCGTCACCGATGCCACGTGTGTGATTCACTTCAGCTTCCCGTCCTCACCAAAAATTTTTGGTGGACGCCTGTACTGCATGTCTGATCATTTTCAGAGTTTAACTGAACAGGTTTGATTAATTTTTATTTTCTTTCAATATTCCACTGGCATTTTCTGTGCAGTGACAAATTCAGAGTGCACACAGTGTCATAATGTAGACCGATAACGGATGATCCACTTCCTTTGTCCTCCCTGATTTTAAGGGGTCTGCTGTAGAACAGGGAGATAAGAAAACCAAGTCTGTTTTGCTGCTGACGGAGAGAAACGCATGCCACGCGGTGGGTGTCCTGCGCTACTTGGAGCGCGCAGATGCCAAAATCCCATCAGAGCTGTATGAGTTTACTGCAGGCGTTCTGGAAGCCAAAGAAGAAAAAAAAGCCAAAAGGCCTCTTTGTCCCTATCTTAAGGCTTTTGGTTTTTGCAAGTAAGTCAGTGCTTTTTTATTTTATTTTTTAAATTGGCTTATAACATACAGTAAAGTGCACAGATGATAAGTTTATAGCTTGAGAATTGTTAAGCATGCAACCACCCATCTAACACAGCCCAGCTCTTTAGGGGAGCACCCGAGAGAGTCCCTCGTGCTCCTTCCCAGCTTATGCCCTTCCCAGAGGTAACCCAGCATCTGTCAGCATTGATTGATTGTGCTCGTTTTTGGAGCTTCACGTCAGTGGGATTGTACACTGTGTACTCTCTTGTGTCTGGCTTCTTTCAACCTACCATCTGTGATATTGTCTGTGTTGTTGCACGGACCAGTGTTTTAGTGTTTATTTTTGCTCCGTAGTATTACATTGTATAAATATATCACAATTTGTGTATCCATCCTTCTCTCGATGGGCTCATAAGTTCTGTCCAGTAGCTGTGAACACTCTTGTACATGACTTCTGTGGAAACGGTGCATCCATTTCTCTTGGGTATATACTTAGCAGTGGAGCTGCTGGGTCATGGGGTAGGTACATATTTAACTGTTCTGAAGTGGTTGACCATATTATGATGCTGTCAGTAGTGTATGATAGAGTTCAAGTTGCTCTGTATCCTCACCATACTTAACATTCTAATGGGGATGTAGTGGTAGTAAATTACTGTGATTTTTTAATTTTATTTTATTGTTGTATTTTAAGTGAAAGGTTACAATTCCAAGTTAGTCTCTCATACAAAAATTTATACATACATTGTTATGTGACCCTAATTTCTCTCCCTGTACTATGACAGGACACTCCTCCTTTCCACCCCTGATTTCCTGCGTCCATTCAACCAGCTCCTGACCTTCTCTGCCTTCTCATCTGACCTGCAGGCAGGAGTTGCCCATTTGGTCTCATGTATCTACTTGAGCTAAAAAAAGCACACTGTTCACAAGTATCCTTTTATGTCCCATAGTCCAGTCTAATCTTTGTCTGAAGAGTTGGCCTTGGGAATGGTTTTAGTTCTGGGATGAGAGACAGTCCGGGTGCCATGCCTTCTGGGAGTCTTCCAGTCTCAGTTAAACCATTAAGTCTAGTCTTTTTACTAGAATTTGAGTTATGCACACAACCTTTCTCCTGCTCCTTTAGGGACTCTCTGTTTTGTTTCCTGTCAGGGCGGTCACTGGTGGTAGCCAGGCACCATCTAGTTCTTGTGGTCTCAGGCTGATGGAGTTTCTGGTTTATGTGGCCCTTTCTGTCTCTTGGGCTAATACTTTCCTTGTGTCTTTGGTGTTCTTCATTCTCCTTTACCCCAGGTTGTTACAGTTTTTTGCAGACAGATATCCAGTTATGCCAGCACCATTTGTTAAAAAGACTGTCTTTTCCCCAGTAATGGACATTGGGCCTTTGTCAAATATCAACTGCTCACAGGTGGATGAATTTATGTCTGGATTCTCAGTTCTGCTCCATTGTTCTATGTATCTGTTGTTGTACCAGTACCAGGCTGTTATGACTACTGTGGCAGTATAATAGGTTCTAAAATCAGGTAGTGTGAGGCCTCCTACTTTGTTCTTCTTCAGTAATGCTTTACTTATCTGGGGCCTCTTCCCTGTCTGTATGAAGTTGGTGATTTGTTTCTCCATCTCATTAAAAAATGCTGTTGGAATTTGAATTAGGATTGCATTGTATCTGTAGATTGCTTTGGGTAAAACTGACATTTTCACAATGTTGAGTCTTCCTATCCATGAGCAAGGTATGTTAATTACTGTGATTTTAATTTGTATTTCCCTAGTGATTATTGAGGGAGCCTTGGTGGTGCAGTGTTTAAGCACTCAGCTGCTAACCAAAAGGCCAGAAGTTCGAACCCACCAGTTGCTCTGAGGGAGACATGTGGCAGTCTGCTTCCGTAAAGATCACAGCCTTGGAAACCCTACGGGGCAGCTCTACTCTGTCCTGTAGGGTCGCTATGAGTCAGAATCAACTTGCTGGCAACAGGTTTGGTTTTTTTAAAATGATTATTGATGTTGAATGTCTTTTTATATACTTACAAAACATTTGACCTTGCTGTTTTTGTGAAATGCCTGTTTAGGTCTTTTGCTCATTTTGTCAATGGGGTGCTTATCTGTTTCCTACTGGTTTATAGGAGTAATTTATATATTCTGAATATAAATGCTTTGTGATGTATATACATTGAGAATATCTTCTCCCAGTCTGTGGCTTGCCTTTTCATTCTTTTAGTGGTCTCTTTTGTATGTGTGTGGTAGAATATGTGTCACCAAAAATTTGTCATTTCAGTCACTCTTAAGTGTACGCAGTTCAGTAACATATCACCACTATCCAATTCCAAAAGTCTTTCATCACCCCAAACAGAAACCCAGTACCCCTTAAGCGGTAACTCCCCATCCCCCCACCCCATCCCCTGGTGACCGCTGATAGACTTTTGTCTTTATGCGTTCACCTGTTCTAGATATGTTAGTGGGATCATACAGTACTTATCCTTTCGATTCTGACTTATTTTACTTCGTGTGATACTTTCAGTTTTCATCCATATCATAGCATGTATCAGAACTTCATTTCTCTTTATGAGTCAATAATATTCTACTGTATGTATGTACCCATTTTGTTTATTCATCGGTTGATGAACATTTGGGTTGTTTTTGTCAGTAATACTGCAGTGAACATTGGTGTACAAGTACCTGTTTGAGTCTCTGCTTCCAGTTCTTTTGAGTCTATACCTAGGAATGGAGTTACTGGGTCATTTGTTAATTCTTTAATTTTTTGAGGAACTCCCAAATAACGACTGTACCATTTTACAGTCCCACCAGCAGTGGATGAGGGTTCCAATTTCTCTACAACCTGGCCGCCAACACTGGTTTTCTCTGTTTTTCTAATACTAGTCATCCTGGTGGGAGACAAGTGGTAGCTCATGGTGGTTTCGATACGCATTCCTCTAATGACTCATGACTTGCACATCTTTTCAAGTGTTCGTTGGCCATCGTGTGTCTTCTTTGGAGAAATGTCTCATTTAAGTCCTTCGCCCATTTTTCGACTGGATTATTTGTCTTTTTTGTTGTTGAGTTGAATGCATTCTTTATATATTCTGGATTTTAAACCCTTATTGGATGGATATATGGTTACCAGATATTTTCTCCTATTCTGTACGTTGTCTCTTCTCTTTTGTTTAAGTCCTTCGATGCACAAAAGTTCTTAATTTTGTCCATCTTATCTATTTTGTCTTTTGTTGTCATATCTGAGAATCCATTATCAAAAGCTAGGTCCCAAAGCATTACTCTTGTGTTGTCTTCTGAGAGCTTTACAGTTTTCGTTCTCTTCTTTAGATCCTTGATGTATTTTGAGTCCGTTTTTACATATGGTGTTGGGTGTGGATCTAATGATGTTGTTCTGCATGCGCAGATCTGTTGTCCCAGCACCATTTATTGAAGAGACTATTTTAATGGTGTCTTGTGCTCTATGGTCACTATGAGTCGGAATCTACTCAATGGCAATGGGTTTGTGATAAACGACATTTTTACTTTTGATGAAGTCAAATTAATATTTATTTTATGGTTAATGGTCTTTTGTGTCCTAGAAGCTTTATAGTTTTAGCTTTTGCATTTAAGCCTATGATCCAGATTGCATTAATTTTATAGTGGGAAAGAGCAAAGTTTCCCTTCTTTTCATATGGATAATCACTTGCTCCAGCATAATTCATTTTGAAATACCATCCTGTTCCCAGTGAATCGGGTGGCTTATGTAAATCAGGTGATAGTATACATGGTCTCCTTTTGGACTCTTCTGTTTCATTGCTTATCCTTAACACCAGTACTGCACTTTCTTAAGTACTGTGGCTTTCTAGTAAATCTTGGAATCTGATGTGTAAGTCCTCCAACTTTTCTCTTATTCTTCAAGATTTACTATTTTAGATCTACGGTGTCTCCATATGGAGTTCCTGGGAGGCGCGCATGGTTAAGTTGCTCCCCTACTAACTGAAAGGTTGATGTTTCAGACCGACCCAGAGGCACCTCAGAAGAAAGGCCTGGCAATCAGCTTCTAAAAGGTCACAGCTTTGCAAACCCTACGGAGCACAGTTCTACTCTGCACACATGGGGTCACCGTGGGTTGGAATCAACTCCATGGCAACTGGTTTAGTTTTCTTGTTTCTTGCATCTACATACACATTTTAGGATTGGCTCGTCAATTCTTTGAAAAACTCTGGTGGACGTTTCATAGGGACTGCGTTAGTTCTGTGGATTAATTTGGAAAGTGTGGACCTCTTAACAACCATGGGGGCCTGCCTCACACTGATCTAGACCTACTGCCAGTGCTTGACAGATGGCTGGGGATGGGTAGTAGGTGTCTGATACGTATTTACTGGATTAAGTTTGATGTTAAGATAACTGTTGACATTAACTGTTTTGAATTATGGTGCACCGAACAGGTTATTAGCAGCTGTTCCCATGAGGCCTTTAAGTAGAATATTGACTTTTGAAACTGAAGCTTCAGCTATTTTCAGTTTGGAAATAATGTTATGGTTAAGACTTCCAGGTTAGAGGTTAATTGACCTTTATTGTGGGTTATGGTGTTCCTGATTCAAGAGTCTTTATTTTGGAAGTATGTTTTCTTCATTTACACAGTGTATTTAAGAATGTCTATAGAAATAAGAAAATAACTATTTGCTTTGATTGTATTCAGTGTTAACTGTGTTTTAGGACCCTTTTCCATTTATTTGTGTCCTGTCAGTATCATCTGAAGTATTTAATATGCTTACTTAACTTTAAAGGTGTGTGGAACAAAAGCTCTGTGGTTTTGGCTGTAGGTTAATTTTCCTGAAGAATACTTAAAGAGTCACGATAACAATTAGTACTGTTTTTTTTTTCTTTTCTTTTTTTTCTGGTTTTAAATTCTAGTTGCTTTTTTTCAGAGACAAAAGGATCTGTCTTGATCGACACTATATTAATCCAGAAATAGACATGCCAAGGAAGTTATCTAACCAAGCTCTCCCAGTGTTTGGATATGTTAAAGTAAGTTCCATTAAAGATCTTTTTGCCTAATGATTAATGATCATTTTCATGAACATTTTATGTTTTAAGTAGCAAACTCTTAGTAGAATGTAATTATGACTCGCAGTGGGCAGTATTAATATACCACAGTTAATGTGGCAGTATTAATCTGGGTCCTTATAAAGTGCCTATTTTTAATACCCCAGTTTATTTAGAAACCCTAGATCAAATTGGGAAAATGGATAAACCATTTCAACAATTTAGGGGGTTTTTTAGTTACGTATTTAGAAAATGTGAAGCTTTCTTCCTTAAAAAAAAAAAAAAAACTATATTTTTTAGTAACCCACATAAGCTGTTGCCACTGCAAGGATCTGTTCTCAGCATCAGTGGGAGAAAGGACGTCTGCAGGGTGATGGCTGGGGTCATTGTGGAGGAGAGGAAGCTGTGACCGAGGCAGGAGTTTAAGGTCAGAAGAGATGGAATTAGGGCCTTCGGGGCCGCAAGAGAGCCTGCGGGTTGGAGGTAGAGGACGGTCAGTGGAACCCTGGGTCAGAGTTTTACCTTTGTAAAAGGTAAAGATCCTGGTGGATCTTTGCTGTGGACCATGTGGAGTTATCATGTGTGCCTCGTGGTTTATACAGCCCCCCGTTGTTGGGTATCTGAGTCGTTTGTGTTTGGGGGCTGTTAAAAATAATGCTGTGATTACATAAGTCTTTGCAGAACATTCATAATTATTCTTTTGAGGAAAATTCTGAAATGCAGAATAGAATTGCTGAGTTAAGAGTTTGTCACTTTCTCTTGAATCCTTATTATATCCTTCGTTTCTTTTCGAGTTTTAAAACTGTTCTCCTTTTCACCTTCTCTTTCCCTTGAGGCATTATCTGTTGTGTTCATTCATGTTTGTGTTCCTTCTCCTTAGGTGTCGTTACTAGTTCTCTAGGATTGCTGTATAACTAGAAACAGTTTATTCTGTCTTGGTTGTGGAGGCCAGAAGGTCATCGGCAGTGCCACGCTCCCTCTGGGCGCTCTGAAGGACAGTCTGCTTCTGACCTCTTCTCGCTTCCCGTGCCCTAGGCGTTTCTTTGCTTGCAGCTGCGGCACTCCAGTCTCTTCATCTGTCTTCACGTTGCCTTCTCCTCTTCTCTCTGTTAAGGATGTTTGTCATGGGATTTAGGGCCTACCCAGACAATCCAGGATGAGCTCGTCTCGAAATTCTTAACTAAATTACATCTGCAGAGATCATTTTTCCAAAAACAGGTTCTGGGAGTTAGGATGTGGACACATCTTTCTTGGGGCCATATTACTGAAATGTCATTACTGAAGTGATTTTTTCTTTACTTTCTAATTCTTTTCTGAGTTCTGTCACCTCATTTCTAAGTTTTTCTGTTTCTGATTTATGTTGTTCTTTTATATCATATATCACTTTCTTATAAACAAGCTAAAAGATAGCTTGTTTGGAAATGGAAGGTTGCAGTTTTGATCTGTTTTGTGGACATGTCTTTCCAGCAGCTTTCATTGTCTATAGGGATTATTATTCTGCTCCTTAGTAGTCTCTTTTTTTTATTATAACTTCATATGAGAGTTGACCTTGATACTTTGTTATTGCTCATTTTATAGATAAAATGAGTTTTCCTGAAACTTTAGGTGTGGGTCAGGGTAACTTTTCCAGTTTCACAGAGTTCCTGCTTCTGTCATTTTCATGTTGTATTAAAAGAAATATATGATGGCATAGTTTCTGACATTTTTGAGATTCTTGGCTCTGTTCCCCTCCCCGACTTTTATCTGGGCCGTTTCTTCCTTCATCTCTATTGTTTCTGGCTGGACGGTTTCAAGGAGTCACAGGGCTCAGCCTCCTGATTTGTCCACTGTTAGGTAGGGGAAAGCCTCCCCAGTTCCCACTGTCTCGCCATGCCGGCCCGCCATATTTTCAGTGCTTCTCTGTGGCCTTCTCTGGAGTTCTCCTGTTCTCAGGTCCATCAGACACACGGCTGCTTCCTCAGCTTCTTCTTACAGACACGAATGCCCCATAGGTCTTGTGAATGTGGGTGGTTTTGCTCACCTGCTTGTATTTTGAGGCTCATGAGGACCTGTTATTCAGCTAGTTTTGCTGTAAATGATGTCCCTGGTTTTCGGTTTTGCTGTCTAGTTGCTTACTCTGTCTTTATGTGGAGATTCAGAGAAGTTAAAAAAAAAACCCAGCACTGCTTCCACTGCTACCTTCCCGTAGCCTCTCTACCAGGTCTTTTTTTTTTTTAATCAGCTATAGCAATATACAGTCTCACATACCAAAAAAATCACTAATTTTAACTGTAGGGTTTGTTGAGTTTTGATAAATGTATACAGTCCTGTAACCACTACCACAGTCAAGATTTCTATCAGCCCAGAAAAGTCCCTCATGCCCCTTGGCAGTCAGTCCTCGCCCCATACCCGCTGCTCCTGGCAACCACTGGTCTGCTTTCTTTTGCTGTGAGTTTGCCGTTAAAGTTCTGTGTAAAACAGAAATCCGCTGGGATTTCTTACTAAGGGAATCATACAATAGGTGGTCTTTTGAGTCTGTTTCTGCTACTGAGCTTAAAGCTTGTGAGGTTCAGCCATGTTGTTCTGTTTTATTGCTGAATAGGGTTCTGTTGTATGGATATACCATAGTCAGTTTATCCATTCACAAGGTAATGGCATTTGGGTTATTTCCAGTTTCTGGCTGCTGTGCACATTTGTGTGGTTAGTCTTTTTGGATATACACTGACACATTGTCATTTCTCTTGGGTAAGACTTAAGAGTGGAATTGCTGGGGCATATGATAGGAGTATGCCCTATGGGAGTCCTTGTTGTGTTGTGTACCATCGAGTCAATTCTGACTCATAGAGACCATATATGACAGTAGAACTGCCCCTTGTGGTTTCCTAAGCTGTAATCTTTATGGGAGCAGATCACCAGGTCTTTTCTTCTATGGAGCCGCTGGTGGGTTTGAACTGCTGACTTTTGGTTAGCGGCCAAGTGTTTAACTATTGTGCCACCAGGGCTTCTTCCACATGGGAGACCCAGGTTCAATTCCTGGCCAGTGTGCCTCATGCACAGCTACCACCCATCTTTCTGTGGAGGCTTGTGTGTTGCTGTGATGCTGAACAGGTTTCAACAGAGCTTCCAGGCTAAGTCAGACTAGGAAAAAAGGCCCAGCAATCTGCTTGTGAAAATCAGCCACTGAAAGCCCTGTGGATCACAGTGGTCTGTTCCGCAACCAATCATGGGAATGGCACAGGACCAGGCAGCATTTTGTCCTGTTGTGCCTGGGGTCACCGTGTGTTGGGAGCCAACTGAACAGCAGCTAACAACCTGATAAGTGTATGTTTATAAGAAAGTACCAAATGGTTTTTCAAAGTGGTTGTACCATTTGGTACGTATGAGAATTCCAGTTGGTCCACATTTCCGCCAGTACTTGGTATTCTCGGGCTTTAATTTTAGCCATTCTGTTGCATTTGCACCAGGAGCCGTGGTGGCACAGTCGTTAAAGCAATTGACTGCTAACCAAAAGTCAGCGGTTTGAAACCACCAGCCGCTCCTCAGGAGGAAGATGTGGCAGTCTGCTTCCGTAGAGGTGTACAGATTCGGAAACGCTCTGGGGTTGTTAGGAGTCGGAATCGACTCAGCAGCAGTGGGTTTAGTTTTTTTGTTTTTGGTTATTGCACCTGCACTGATACCTTATTTGCATTTTCCTGATAACTAGGAATCTTGAACATCTTTTCACATGCTTATTGGCCGTTTGCATTTTTTTTTTTTTTAATGAATTCTCTATTCAGAATTTTTGCCTCTTTTAAGATTTTTTCTTATTTTGAAGAGTTTTAAGAGTTCATTATATATTCTGGATGTCCTTTGCCTGATACACATATTGTAAATATTTTCTCGAAAAGTTTTTAATTTTGATGAAGTCCAGTTTATCATTTTTTTATGTTTTGTGCTTTTCATGTCCTAAAAAATCTTTGCCTACGCCAAGTCCACAAGGATTGTCCTCTGTTTTTTCTAGAAGCTTTATAGTTTTAGCATGCACATTTAGAGCTATGATTTAATTAATTTTTAAGTTAAATTAAAATTAATTTTTGTGTGTCATGTGACATAGGGACGAGGTTTATTTTTTCCATATACATAATCAGTTGCTCCAGCATCATTTATTGTAAAGACCATCTTCGTTGCCTGAATTAACATTGACACCTTTGACATAAACCCAGAGACTGTATATGTGTGGGTCTATTTTTGAATTCTCTTTTCTGTTCCTTAGTCTATCTGTCCATACACCAGTACCACACTGGCTTGGTTATTGTAGCTTTATAATAAGCTTTGAAAACTGGAAGATAAGACCTCCAACTTTGCTCTTCTTCTTCAGTATTGTTTTCACTATTCCTTTGCATATTCATCTGAAAGTTTAGAATCAGCTTGTGAATTTTTACTTAGAAGCCTACTGGAATGTTGGTTGGGATTGTATTGAGTCTATGAATGAATTTGGAGGAGAATTGACGTCTTAACGATGTTGAATCTTCCAGCTCATTAACATGGTATATCACTCCAATTACCTGTTGTTGTTAGGTGCTGTCCAGTCAGCTCTGACTCATAGCAACCTGTGTAAAACAGATTGAACGCTGCCCAGTCCTGCAGCATCCTCACAGTCATTACTATGTTTTGAGCCCGTTGTTGCAGCCACTGTGTCAGTCCATCTCATTAGGGTCCCCCTCTTTTTCGTTGACCCTCTACATTACCAAGTGTGATGTCCTTTGCCAGCAGTTGGTCTCTCCTGATGATGTGTCCGAAGTACATGAGATGAAGTCTCACCATCCTTGCTTCTAAGGAACATTCTGGCGGTACTTCCTCCAAGACAGATTTGTTCATTCTTCTGGAAGTCCGTGATGGAGACAATGTTCTTCACCAACACCACAATTCGAATGTGTCAGTTCTTCTTCAGTCTTTGTTTTTTTTTTGGTCAAACTTTCACAAGCATATGAGGCAATTGACAATACCGTGGCTTGGCTCAGCTGCACCTTAGTCATCAAAGTGACATCTTTGCTTTTTAGCTTTAAAGTGATCTTTTGCCACAGATTTGCCCAATGTAAATACGTCATTTCATTTCTTGACTGCTGCTTCATGGGTGTTGATGATTGATCTGAGAGCAATGAAATCCTTGACAACTTCAGTATTTTTGCCATTTATCATGGTGTTATTTATTGGTCCAGTTGTAAGGATTTTTGTTTTGTTTTTGTTCTGATGTAGTCCATTCTGAAGGCTGTAGTCTTTGACCTTCATCAGTAAGTGCTTCAAGCAGAGAGTTGGGGGACCTCATGCCACCAAGAAAGCAGTGCCAGAAGCAGAGTGTGTCCTTTGGACCTGGGGTCCCTGCGTGGAGAAGCTCCTAATCCGGGGGAACATTGATGAGAAGGCTGACAGAGAAAGCCTTCCCCTGGAGCTGACGCCCTGAATTTGGATTTTTAGCCTACTTTACTGTGAAGAAATAAATTTCTCTTTGTTAAAGCCGTCCACTTGTGGTATTTCTGTTGTAGCAGCACTACTTTGGGCCCAGATCCATCTGACATCAGCAGTGATCTCTCCACACCCTCTTCTGAATCTGGTTTGAACTTTTGGTAGCTCCTTGCTGTTGTATAGCTGCAGCCGTTTTTGAATTATTTTCAGCAAATTTTTGCTTGCATGTAACATTAATGATAGTATTTGATAATTTCTGCATTCCCTTTGATCTCTTTTCTTTGGAATAGGCACAAATATGGATCTCTTCCAGCCGATTGGCCAGGTAGCTGTCTTACAAATTTCTTGGCATAGATGAATGAGCAGCACCTCCAGCCCTGCATCGGTTTGTTGAAACATCTCAGTTGGTATTCCGTCAGTTCCTGGAGCCTTGTTTTTAGCCAGTGCCTTCAGTACAGCTTGGACTTCTCCTTCAGTACCATCAGTTCTTGATCATATGCTACCTCTTGAAATGGTTGCGATCTTTTTGGTATAGTGACTCTGTGTATTATGTCCCTCTTCTTTTGATGCCTTCTGTGTCGTCCCATTTTCTGCCCATAGATTCCTTCAGTATTAGAATTTGAGGCTTGAATGTTCTCTTCAGTTCTTTCAGCTTGAGAAATGCCAATCATGTTCTTACCTTTTGGTTTTCTAACTCATAGTCTTTGCACAGTTCATTATTACATTTTACCTTGTCTTCTCAAGCCTCCCTTTGAAGTCTTTTGTTTAGCTCTTCTACTCCATTATTTCTTCCATTTGCTTTAGCTACTCTACGTTGGAGAGCAAGTTTCAGAGTCTCTTCTGACATCCATTTGGGTCCTTTCTTTTTTTCCTGTCTTTCTAATGACCTTTTACTTTTATAACGTATGATGGCCTTAGTGTCATCCCTCAACTCTTCTGGTCATTAGTGTTCAGGATGTCAGTTCTCTTCTTGAAATGATCTCTGAATTCAGACAGGATGTATTGAAGGTCATGCTTTGACTCTTTTTACTTTGATTGCTTTCAGCTTCAACTTGAACTTGCATAGGAGCAGTTGATGGGCTGTTCCGCAGTCGGCCCCTGGTGTTGTCTTGACAGATAATATTGAGCTTCTCCATCAGCTCCTTCCACAGATAGTCTGTTTGATTCCTGTGTAAACAGTCTGGTGAGCTCCATGTGTATGGTCATCGTTTGTGTTGTTTGAAAAAAGGTATTTCTGATGAATAAATCACTGGTCTTGCAAATTCTATGCTGCCATCTCTAGCATCATTACTATCACCAAGACCATATTTTCCTGCTTTCTTTTTTGTTTCCAACTTTTGCATTCCAGTCACCAGTAATTATCAGTGCACCTTGACTGCATGTTTGATCAATTTCAGACTGCAGAAGTTGTAAAAATCGTTAGTTTCTTCATCTCTGACACCCGTGGTTGGGGCATAAATTTGAATAATAGTCATATTAACTCATCTTCCTTGTAGGCATGTGAATATTAACCTGTCACTAACAGCATTGTAATTCAGGATAGATCTGGAAATGTTCTTTTTCGATGAGTCCGATGCTATTTCTCTTCATCATTCCTGGCATAGTAGACCATATCATTGTCGGATTCAGAACGGCCAGTACCAGTCTATTTCAGCTCACTGATGCCCAGGTTATCAATCTTCAGGTGTTCTATTTCTTTTTTGACAACTTTCAGTTTTCCTTGATTCATACTTTGTGTATTCCATGTTCTGATTTTTAATGGGTATTTCCAGCTGTTGCTTCTCATTTGGAGTTATGTCACATCAGCATATGAAGGTACAGAAGGCTTTACTCTATCCACATCATTAAGGTCTGCTCTCGTGTGAGTAGGCAGCTCTTCCCCAGTTGTATTTTGAGCGCCTTCCACCCTTAGTAGCTTATCTTCCCGCACTATATCAGACAGTGTTCTGTGGTTATCCTTAAGGTTTCCATTGGCTAATTTTCAGAAGCAGATCACCAGTCCTTTTTCCTAGTCTGCCTTCCTCTGGAAGCTCTGCTGAAACACACCACGTGACCCTGCTGATATTTAAGATACCAGTGGTATAGCATCCAGCATCCCAGCAACATGCCAGGCACCACAGGCCAACCAACTGGCAGATGGTGGCCCTTCATCTAGGTAGTTTGTCTGGGGCATTTCATCTAGACCATTATCTAGGTCATTTTTAATTTCTCTAGGCAGTGTTTTATAGTTATCAGCAGACAGGTCTTTGACTCATTGTGTTAAATCTGTCCCTAGTATTTCGTATTTTTTTGATGCTATTGTTCATGTTATTGGTGTTTAAATTTCATTTCTAAGTGTTTTAGGAATTCAGTGGATTTTTGTATCCTAATCTTATATCCTGTGGCCATAAAAAGACTGGATTAGTTATCTGCAGGGGGCCTAGGGAGTGTGGGACCAAAACAGGCAGGGAAAGGTGCCCTCCTGCTTTGCTTGGGATTGAGAGGTTTCCTGGGACATGGGACTTTGAGTGCTAAGACCAGGAGAGTCCAGGCAAACCAGGACGTGTTGATCACTCTGTCTAGAGACCTAGACCTAAAACTCTCCCGCTTCTGGCAAGAGGGAAACAAAGAAACCCCCCATTTTATTCCCATCATCCTAAAACAGTCACCATTAGCATCTTAGTATATTTTCTCTGTCATTTTTCGTGTACATCTGTCATTGGTGTATATATTGCGTCCTGCCCGTTCCTTGGAACATAGAGGGAGCATCTTTCTCATCCTCAGTACCGCCTTGTGTTCAGTGACGGCCATCAGAGCAGGGCTTGCCACATGGGCTGAGAGCTGAGTGGGATGCCAGACCGATGGGGAGCCTAAGACACAGAGGAGTAGATGCCCCTGGGAGAGCTGTCTGCAGGGCTGGAAGGGATACTGTGCTCACTGCCTGCGATGGGGCGGCCTGAGTGAGCACTGGGAGCTGGGGCAGCCTTTCCCTCGGTGCTGGAGAATGGCTGGCTGGGGACCCATGACAGACGTGTTCCCTGCCCTCTTGGGGCTGGCGTTCCAGTGGGTATGGTCAACAGTGGGCCCTTGAGTAGGAAAGGTGGTTCTGATGGTTACAGGTGGTGTGAACAGGATGAAATGGATTAGTGTAATAGAGAGTATCCTTGTGCACGGGGACAAAGGGCCCTTTGGAAGTTGCTGGCTGGGAGGGACTCCCTGAGGAGGCCCAGACAATAAGAAGCCTGCAGTCATGGGGAGGTTTCGAGAAGAACATTCCAGGCAGAGGAACCAGCAGGAGCGAGGGACCTGAGGTAGGTGTTACCATGGCGTGTTTGTGGATCAGGACAAGGCTGATTGGCAGTGAGAGTGGGCGACTGGCAGGCCATGAGGTCAGAGGGCACAGAGGAGGGTCACTGTCAGCCCTGGGAGATGTGACACCACTATCTGCCTTGCCTGCCTCACCTCCCCCAGCCTGCCGGATAACTGCTGCTCCCTCCTGGCATCTGCACCAGGTAGCAGGCCCTCCCTGCTTGCTGCAGATTATTTCCTTCTCCACACGTTTGCTGACAGCATGCTGGCATCCCACCCCCCGTGCACACCGACGTCCCCCCACGCATGCCGACACCCCTGCGCACACGTAGCTGTGAAGCCTGGTTGCCTTCGTGATCACACTCTAGCTGTGGTCTGTCAGCCCGTCCTGGGTGGCCGGGAGTCCCTGCAAGACCTGCTTTCATCCCTGTGTCCCCAGTGCTTCGCATAAATAGGTTCTTAATAAAATGCTTTTTCTTCAATGAACAAATACGAGAACGGTCTCAAGAAACGGGTACTATATAAGAAGTATTTTTGTAAAAGTGCAGTTAAAAAGTAAACAAAGGAACGCTTAAACCTAATAATGAAGCTTTAAAATAACAAAATTTGCAACAACAACAACAACAAAACTTCCATTAGATTTAAAGTGGAACTAATTATTTGTGAATATCAGAAAGTTTTTATCTTGTTTTGTCTTTTGGCCACTTCCTAGTTTTTTTAAATCTCCATCTTCTTAGGCTCTCAGGTCAGGTGCCGATGGCGGCAGGCAAAGGAGCGTGTGCATCTTTGATTTAGATTAAGCTTGTTTTCCGCATGTATTTACTCTCTGTGTTTCAGATGATACCTTTTTACATTTTGAATGCAACAAACTACTTTGGTCGTATAATTGATAAACATGTGGATCTTTACGAGGCCCTTAATGCTGAAATGACCAAGTATTTTAAGGATTCCAGTAATAAAACAATTGTTGAAAAGGTGGAGAAATTTGGATTATATGGATTAGCAGAAAAAACACATTTTCACAGGTAAAATGTTCATGTATTTCATCTCTGAAAGTTGTGATGCGCAAGGTAGCTTTAAATGGCCGCCCCCAGCCACCGGGTCAGCTCTAAATGGGAGACTGGAGCCCAGGCTCCGGAGCCCAGAGCACAGATGACACGGTGACAGTGACGGGGATCACACAGTCACATGCATCTTCACCTCACTGAGTTCCTACAAAATTCCTATAAAATGGGTGTCTCTGTCATCCAGTGCTATAGCAGAAATACCCCGAGTGGATGGCTTTAACAAACAAATGTATTTTCTCACAGCTTAGGAGGCTAGAAGTCTGAATTCAGGATGCCAGCTCCAGGGGAGGGCTTTCCCTCTCTGTTGGCTCTAGAGGAAAGTCCTTGTCTCTTCTGAGCTTCTGCTCTTGGGCGATCTTCATGTGGCTTGGCATCTCTCTCCTCCCCATCTCCCTCTCTGCTGGCTTGTTTAATCTCTTTTATGTCTGAAAAGAGATTGACTCAAGATACACCTACAGTAATCCTGCCTCATTAACATAACGGGGACAACCCATTCCCAAATGGGTTAACCACAGGCATAGAGGTTAGGATTTACAACACATATTTCTGGGGGACACAATTCATTCCATAACACTGGGCATCATCCCATTTTACAGATAAGCACATTAAGCCTTGGAGAGCTTATGTAAATTGTCTAAGGTCAGCTCAGTAAATGGCAGGCAGTGTTCAGACCCAGTCAGTCTCACTCAGGTGCCTGTTGGCAGCCACTGCCCTTGAATGCCATACCTGGCCCTGCTTGGTTACAGCCTTGACTCAGAAAACTTGGAAAATTTAATTTGCTGTGTTAATTTCCATTATGTCTTCAATAAAGGGATCACTCTTTTCAAAAGTATTGCACATTTTTACTGCTGGTGGGAATACAAAATGATACGACCATTTTGGAAAATGATATGGCGCTTCCTCAGAAAGCTAGAAATAGACATACCATCTGATCCAGCAATCCCACTCCTAGGAATATATCCTAGAGAAATAAGAGTCGTCACTCGAACAGACATATGCACACCTATGTTCATGGCAGCATTGTTCACAGTAGCAGAACGATGGAAACAACCTAGATGCCCATCAACAGATGAATGGATAAACAAACTATGGTGCATACACACAATGGAGTACTATGCAATGAGAAAGAACAACAATGAATCTGTGAACCATCTCGTAACATGGATGAAACTGGAGGACATTATGCTGAGTGAAATAAGTCAATCAC